GAAAAACGAAGGTTGTTCTCTTAATTCAGTGTGAATCCTCGCACGCCTGCCAGTTGCCGGTGCCGCTTGTTGAAACTAAAACGAAAAAAAAAAACTCTTTTAAGATTATCACTTGCTTCTTTTTCACCGCACCATCATTCTTACCAACAAAGGGTGCCATTTTGTTTGTTTATTACTCGCCAAAAACTGTCAAATGCACTCAAAGCCTAAAATCGAAAAAAAGTTTACAGGGATCGACCAATCGAGCGAGCGAGCGAGTGGGCGAGTGCCATTCTCCACATCATATCTAGAACTCGCTCTTGCGCATGCGTGCAATTCACGAGTTAAAAAGAGGAATATAAAACCGTTAGTTTTCAATTTCAATGCCCCTGTTTTGAAGGTGTATGCAATGTACTTCACATGCATGTAGCTAAAAAAGAGAATGCTATCATTTTAAACTGATGTTAAGCCATTGTTTGAACCAAATGGTATGAGTAACAAAAGAATATGATAGAACCAAGCGTTATTACACACGGAAAGCTGGAAAAGGTGTGATTGCTGTATTAAAAGACAACACCACAAGGGGCAAGCCCCTCGTTCCACCAACTTTGTTCCTCAGATGTGGTGCGCCGCCAGATCTCCAGTGGTGAAGACTGACGAAGACAGGGTGGACGTGACGCTGATGGAGGCACTTGCCCAATGTTACTAGGCTTCCGACACTTGGGAGAAGCGTCGCCAAATACTTTCCATCATGGCAGATAAGGTGCGCTTTACCAAACTCCTTCGTTATATTCCTTGTCTGACCAACTATCGATTTACGGACGCCAAACGCCATTGCCTTACCTCATTATGGAAGAGGTGGACCAGTAAAGTCCTTACGAGTGAGGCCTTGATAACAATTCGGAGAAAGATCCATAACGCTTAGCAACAAAGAAACTATAAAGATATCAAACGTGATGATTCCTGAAAGAGTGGTCAAACAATATTTGGCCGACTGTGACAGGATGAGTTTCAAGCCCTTAGGCGAAGTACGCTTCTGCGTATCCTTGCTGTTTGTCCCGCCTCTGTTTGAAAGTCACTTCAAGCTTAGGTTACGTTAGTTCTGCAGGATCGCAGGCATTTGAAGACTTATCCGACGTCGTAGAAAGACTTGGAGACACGGGAAAAGGCATGATGGGCTGGACGAAAGATATACAGAGTCGCCTTCGACTCAGAAAGCGTTACCTCAAAAGAGATTACAAGGCAAATGTTCTTCATATTCATTCTATAACGTTATCAAACACGTTAACAGTTCTAAAGGCGGAATACACGTTTGTAGAAGGTGCTTCTCTGCCGAATAAGCTCATGCACCCGTGTGAACGAAAATACCCTTTTACGAGAGAGGCAGGCTTCAATCTGAGCCTAGCTGAATTTTTTTGTCAGATAAAAAGTTTTCCTGTAATTTTCTTTTAGATCGCAAATATTGCTGGAAAATTTGTTTCTTTTTCTTTCCATTATTTTTCAGAGTTGCGCAATGACTACTTTTTTCGTGTATATTAATTACATGGCACCCAGGCCCGTCAAAACGTATGAGCACTGCATTGTGGTCTGGTCAACTGTCGTGTGTAATTTGTTTTGTGTGTATTATAGGTTCACACGTGTCAGGGTTCTAATGTGGCCGATCACTGCAGATTGTTTGCGTTGAGCGACCCAAAGGAGCTTGCCTTTCAAGCTCAGTGCAGCCATCATCATGACGACACTTGTGATCGCAACGACCAACTAATGTCATCTCTCAGCGAAATAGAATCAGCAATGATCGCCCAGACAGATAACCTGCTACCCGAAGTCAAGGAGGAACTTTCGTTTAC